AGCAGCCTGAATGGACTAAGACAAATGTAATGTATTAGGTCTATTTTCCTTATTCATTCATTACCAGTGAACGTTTTGCTTCATTGAAAGCATCATGTTTAATAATATGCACAGAAGAGGGCTGGCTGGTTAGCTCACTTGGGAGAGTGTGGTACTGATAACACGAAGGACAAGGATTCAGATCCCCTTACTGGCCAGCATGCACAATAAGCACATGAAAAGATGCTCAACATAATTTGCCATTAAGAAATGCAAATCAAAACCACAATGAGACACCACTTCACACCCACTAGAAAGGCAATAATCAAAGTAACAGACAATAACAAGTGTTAGCAAGGATGTGGAGAACTTGGAACCCTCATGCATTGCTGGTGGGAATGTAAAATGGTGCAGCTGCTGTGGAAAACAACCGTTCCTCAAAAAACATTGAGGTGCCATATGATCTAGCAATTCCACTCCTAGATACATACCATAGACAAATGAAAACATATGCAAAAGCTTGTACATGAGTGTTTATATTACTAATACTGGCAGCATTATTAATAACGGCCAAAAAGTAGAAAATATCCAAATGGCCATAGATTAATGAATGGTAATATAAAATGTGGTACATCCATGCAATAGAATATTATTAGGCAATAAAAAGGAATGAAGTACTGATACATGCTAAACATAAATGCACCTTGAAAACATTATGCTAAATAAGAAAAAAAAACAGTCACAAAGACCTTAAATTATATGATTCCATTTGATTCTTGATATGAAATAAAATCAAAACAGACAAGAAACTGATTAGTGGATACTTAGGACTGGGAGTTGAGGAGAATGGGGAATAATAGCTAATGGTTTGTTTTAGGAAAGATGAAGATATTCTATAATTAAATTGTAATGATAATTGCATAACCCCATGAATGTACATTGAATTGTACACTTAAAATAGATGAACTTTGTGGTGTGTGAATTAAATATCAATAAAGATATTTTTAAAACTATTCTCAAAAGTAAAATTATTTATAAAAGAAAATATATCTGCATATTTTAAAGCAAACATTTTAACTCTCTACATTGATGACCTAAACTTTAAAAATAACATAAACAGAATAAATTTTCTTGGCATATATTCATGTATTTGATAATTTTCTCAGCTGCATCTGTTTCCAATGTCATGTGTATTTGGTTGAATCATGTTTTCCAAAATTTCACGTCTACCCAGGGCCTATGAACATGATCTTATTTGGAAATTGGTCTTTTTAGATGTAATTCAGTTAATATAATGTAGAGACACAGACACACAGGATATATGGCCATGTGAAGATGTAGACAGAGACTGGAATGATGCATCTCCAAGTCAAGGAAAGCCAGAGATTGCTAGCTGCCAGAAGCTAGAAGAGACAAGTCACGATTCTTCTCTAGAGGCTTCAGAGAGAACACGGTCCTGTCAGCATCTTGATTTTGAACTTCTGACCTCCAGATCTATTAGAAAATAAATTTCTCATGTTTTAAACCACTTAGTTTGTGGCAATTGGCTACGGCAGCCTTAAAATCTAGTATACCATGTAAGTAGTATTTTCCTAAGGAATGTGTTTTTTTAATATGGTTATATTAATATCAGCATTTTCATAAAAATTGCCAGCAATCTTTTCAAAGCCATGTTATGTGATTAAGAAATTTGTAATTTCTGGCAGTTTCAGTTAACTCCTTTCTGTGGACCAAAATTTTAATTGAGAAAATATGCTCTTTACAGGTGCTAATTTACCCAGTAAACTCAGAGCAAATTTTCCAAAAGGAAGACACTCTCAATTCTAATATTTTTCTTTTAAAATGTGTGTTTCAGGCAAATATTTTTGTAAGTCTTATCCTTTTTCATCAGAGTAGTTTTCTTCAAAAAAAAATTCTTATAATCCAAAAATAATCAAACAAGTTGTCTTTAATCATCATTGTTTTAAATATTTCACCAAATTTACATATTA